TTTATCAACCTTTCGGAGGTTATTTAAAGCCAGGAAATATTTTTGAATTGTAAGAATATTTTTTTGGAGTTTTCATACCTGATCAACAAACAAACAATTATAATGTGGATATAAATTTGGGAGATCAATTCTATACTACAATCACTATATAAATTGATCCCTCACTTTGTGGCCACGGTTGTTTCTATCCATTGATATTCCAGAGAATGTAGATAAATTTAAAAGACATGCCTGTGTAGCTAATCAGTATTTCATTGATTGATTGATTCGTTTTTTAAGGTTTATCAACCATTTGCGGGTTATTTAAAGCCAGAAAATGTTTTTAGAGTGTAAGAATATTTTTGAGATATTAAGGATTTAGTGATACACGTCTTACTAATTAACCCATAGCTAAGGGGAGAAGAGGTGGATTCATACATATCTCAATGGCATTTGTGCGTAAGTGAATATAACGAACCCAGCTGGAATTGGAACTCGGTTCTCCGATTAACAATTCCGAGCCAGTCTCCCTTACACCACCCGCACATCCAAGCTTATATCTCTTGGTATTCTCATCTAAAAGTATAGAAACGACGCTTTCGCAATAGGTGAAATAACAGTAATTGACTTATCTATTATTATTGTTGTTGTTGTTGTTGTTTTATTTCCTTTGGTTTCCGGTGTATATTCATTTCTTTCCGGTCCCACCTAGACACCTAAGGTTAGAAATGACATTTTGTCCATTGAACAGTTTTGAAAAAAAAATCGCACGTATCTTACATAGATGAAATCCTTCGTAAGGTGTGGGCTGTAGTTGTGGGCACAGTTTTTGATATTTCTTTAACGAATGGGCTACCAGGGATTCCTTCAATGAATCTATTGGAATCTTTTCCAATCAATCCGAGGGCTCCAACTACAACTGAAATTCTTAATCTCCACATACACACATTTCAGAGATTTCGATTCCCAGGTCTTTGCATTTTGATAGTTTTTTGAAGATCTTCAAAAGTACATTGTGGTATGCAGGGATTGCCATGTCAATAAGGAGGCACATTTTGTCTTTGCGGTCTCTAATCATGATTATTATTATTTTTATTTCCTTTGATTTCTGGCGTTTACACATTTCTTTCCGGGTCCCGCCCAGGGACCTAAGGTTAGAAATGGCATCATGACACTTTCCACTGACGAAAAAAAAAAAGAGATAAAGCCCTTTGTAAAGTGTAGGCTGTACTTGTCAGAACAATTTTTTGTATCTCTTCCAAGAATCCCTTCAATTAGTCTGCTGGAATCTTTTCCAACCAATCCGAGGACTACAACAGAGATTATTGATGTTCCCATGTTTTTTTTGTTTTTGTTTTTTTTGTTTTTTTTAAGCATTTCACCCAAGCAAGGCGGGAAGCCACTAGGACGCAAGGGGTTACAGAAAATTTAGAGCAAGATCAGATAGGAGTGATAGAAGAAAGGATGAGGGTAGTGGATAGATCAAGGCAACTGGAGATGTCGATTGACATTACACTTGAATAGCTGGAGATTATAGCTCACAGGGAAACAGGAAAAGGGAAAGAAGTTCCACAGGCGAGAGGTGCGAGAGATGAAGCTATTAGAGTAGAAGAGACGGCTACATTTAGGAGTTTCGACAGTGAAGGAGTGAGAGCGGGATCCCAGCCTCGTAGGGCGCTGGAACTCATGACGTCTGGGAACCAGCGAATGCAGCTCCTCGGAGCAATTTCCATGAAAGTATTTGTAGAACAGACAGAGGGAGGCGACGGCGCGTCTGTGAGAAAGTGGCTGTAGACGAGACGCCAGGCCAGGGCCAACTACATTGCATATCCGCCTCTGGAGCCTATCAAGAACTCCGAGGCAAACAGAAGGGGCACCAGACCATATATGGCAGATTTCAAGGTCCTTGAATTTTGACAGCTTTTTGAATATCTTCAAAGATATTATTAGCATTATTATTATTATTATTATTATTATTATTATTGCCCCCTCAGCATAGATAATGGTTAACAATCCATTCTCGTAGAATATCATTGCTTAGTAGTGAGTTCGATCCCCACTGGATGCTCCATATCTCTGTCTGTGTGTAAACTAAACTATACCTAGTGTTTTATTTTTATTTTTCAATAATCATGCTGGTAGAGCCACGGTTATCGACACACAAAATGAATTCAGTGAAATGAGTTCAAGTTTCGGTCAGGTCAGTTGCGTTCCCTTTCGCACTTATTCTCTTGAGAACGTCAGGATTCCATTCCTTATCCCCGACCCGCACTGTGGCAATGGGTTAAATAGCAGGCCAGACAAGGTTTTCTTGCCTTTGGATGACATCAGATCTAAAAGAAAAATGTCAGCCAGCTCATCTTAGACATAATTCTGTCTAGAATAGCAATCTATCATCTCGAGAAGTGATCCCCAAAGTGATTGGTACCGACAATCCCCACCCAGCCCTGGTGGCGTTGGAAATATCCAAGAGCGGTGAAAAAAGTGGGCAGTCACAGAACGCCAATGATTCATCTGAACCCTAACATACATCGCACACCCAGTGTGTATCTTGCCTTCATTTTACAGTGTCACCCATTTGTATAACAATTATAATGGGAAATACTAAAATACTAATTTGATATACAATACTAGCACGAAGATAATCTAATCAAAGGTTGACTATACTTTGGCTGGGAACGTTAGGGTTAAGTTTTACTACGCAGCAAGGCGGGGGGCAACCTCCAATATATTTCGGAACTACTGATCTAAATTAATAAAAAAAATTTTTCTTGGAGGACAGGCCAAAAATAACAAAAGAGTTTGGCGTTTTGGCCCTGGTAAGAAGCTAGTCGCTTCATTATTATTATTATTATTATTATTATTATTATTATTATTATTATTATTATTATTATTATCTGCGTATGTTATGTTTCATGCTTTGTATCTTGTAGAGCCGGGTCCAAACTATGGTCCTTAGCCTCTAAAGGAGAATTGTCATTTAACTGATAGCATTTTTCTTAGTATATATGATCTTCCTAGTAGGGCTATCTTATAGGAAGTTTCTATGGCGATGTTGCCTGGGACACTCTTAGTAAAATTGTCCATTCTTTTTCTCACGAAGTCCGGAACCCCAAATACTATTGGTACAGTCTCAGTCTTCATTCTTCAAATCCTGTTAATCTCCATGTCCAGGTCCTTGTATTTGGACAATTTCTCGATAATTTTCGTGGAGATGTTTCTCTCAGATGGTACTGCTATGTCAATAAGTATACACTTCCTGAATTTCTTGTCTTTTATGATAATATCAGGTCTGTTGGCTTTTATTTCCATGTCAATTTGAATTGGCATGTCCCAGAGGATAGTTACATCGTCTGTGTCTGGTTGGTGCTCCTACCATCTCTCAGTGGTTTCGATTTTGTGCTTCTTGCATATCTTCCAGTGCACATATATCACTACCTTGTTATGTCTGTGGGCATATTTATTTTTTGCTAGTTCCGAACATCTTGTGATAATATAGTCGACAGTTTCATATTTTCCGCAGATCCTGCATTTTGAGTTAGTTACGTTCTTGATCATGTGACAGTGATAGGATCTGGTTGCGAGGCTCTGGTCCTGAGTTGCAATAATTAGGTTTTTTGTCTCAATTTTCAACACGGTGCTCCTCAACCAGTGATGTGCTTTCTGTTGGTACACAATTGGTTATGTCTCAGAAGGCATACACTTTACATGAATAAAGGTTCACGTAATATGTGAATTGTTCTTGTGAATACATTTTATTTTGTATTTCTTAAAGGCTTTGGTGATCAGGAATCCCTTCAATGAATCTCTTGGAAGCTTTTCCATTCAATTCGAGAGTTTCCACAACTGGATTTACTGATGTCCTCATGTGCCATACTTTGAGATTTCCGCTTCAAGAGCCTGGAATTTTGATACTTTCTTGAAGATCTTCAAATATGCATTACAATCTGCAGGAATTGCCATATCAATAAGAAAACATTCTGTTTTTGTGGTCTTTGATCACGATGTCTGGGTGATTAGATTTGATTGTTCTGTCTCTGTGTATTGTAAAGTCCCTTAAAATTATTTCATGCCCTATCTCTGTAAGCGGGTCTGGGTGATATTCATAGCAGTTTCTTACGGTTTCCTTCCCGTAAAAGTTACATATTTTCCAGTACATATATTGGCCCATTTTACATTCAGTGGATGCCAACACTAAGGAACCTGATACAAGATGGTCAACTGTTTCTGGTTAACACAATTGTTTTTGTATTTCTTTGAGCAATGGGCTACCAGGAATCTTTTCAATGAGTGTATCAGAATTTTTTCAAACAAATCGGGCTCCAACTACAACTAGAATTATTGATATCATCATGTGCCCCATGTTTTAGATTTCCGCTTGAAGATCCTTGTATTCTGATAGTTTTTTGAAGATCTTCAAATATGCATTACAATCTGCAGGAATTGCCATATCAATAAGAAAGCACATTCTGTTCTTGTGGTCTTTGATCACGATGTCTGGGTGATTAGATATGATTGTTCTGTCTGGGTGTAATATAAAGTCCCATAAAATTTTAACAGGTTTTATCTTCATAACCAGGTCTGGGTGAAGTTCATACCAGTTTTTTTTTTTTTTTTTTTTTTTTCAGTTTCCTTTCCGTAAAAGTTGCAGATTTTCCAGTGCAGATATTGGCCCAAGCTACCACGCCGAGTTTTATATTCAGTAGATGCTAAAACTGTGAAACTGATACAAAATGGCGAATTGCTTCTGGATATTACAGAATATGCATTTAGGGCTAAAACAATTTTTTTCGTAGCTGTCTGACTTGAACTGTCTCCGCTGTTGACATTATGTCTCCTTAAAGTGAAGAGTTTCAATGAACAAATGTATCTTCAAAATTTTAAAGTTATACCATAAGTCAAATATAAGAGTTACGTGCAAACAGAATTAGGATAATTCCTTTGGAAAAGTCACGTTAGTGTACCAAGTAAAAGTCAAAGACTCATAGGTGATAATTTAGATTTTAATGATGAAGATGGGGTTAAAGATTTGTAAGAACAAAGAGGAGGGATGAAAGGAAAGAGCGTGAAGGAAAGCGTGAGTGATGAGAAAGAAGAAAATTGAAAGAAAGGTGATCACAAGAATGGAGGAAGAAAGGAAGGATAAACCGCGAAAAAGAAAAAAAGGAATGATTTACAAGAAGGATAGAGAGAAATAAATAAATAAAAAAAGACAAGTAATGAAAAAGAAGTAAAGGAAGAGAAAGGAAGGTGATGAGAAGAATGGGGGGTAAAATAAGGATAAACCACGAAAATGAAAAAGAAAAAAAGAAGAAAATCTTAGAAGAAGGATAGAGAGAAGGAAAGAAGTCAAAAGTGATAAATAATGAAAAAAGAAGAAAACAAAGAAGTTTGCTGAGAGGAATGGTGGGTAAAAGAATTGATAAACTGCGAAAAAGAGAAAAAAAGAATGAAAAGTCTCAGAAGATAGATAGAGAGAATGAAAGAATTAAAAAAAAATGATGAGTAATGAAAAAGAAGAAAACGAAGGAGGAGAAAGGTGATAAGAAGAATGGAGGGTAAAAGGAAGGATAAACCTCGAAAATGAAAAAGAAGGAAGTCTTAGAAGAAGGATAGAGAGAAGGAATAAAAAAAAAAAAGATAAATAATGAAAATGAAAAACGAAGAGAAAGGAAAGTTATTTGAAGAATGGAGAGTAAAATAAAGGATAAACCGTGAAAAGGAAGAAGAAAAAAGAAAAAAATCGTAGAAAAAGGAAAAAAGAGAAGGAAAGAAGTTAAAAAAAGATAAGTAATGAAAAAAGAATAAAATGGAGAAGGGTGATGAGAAGAATGGTGGGTAAAAGAAAGGATAAACCTCGAAAAAGAAAAAAAAAGTAAAAAATCTTAGAAGAAGCATAGAAAGAAAGAAAGGAAGAAAGAGGTAAAAAAAATGATAAGGAAAACGAAGTTATAGAAAAGTGATGAGAAGGATAGATGGTAAAAGGAAGAATAAAACGTGAAAAAGAAAAAAAAAGAAAGAAAAGTCTTAGAAGGATAGAGAGAAAGAAAGAAGTAATAAAAAAGATAAGTAATGAAAAAGAAGAAAACGAAGATGGAGAAAGGTTATAAGAAGAATGGATGGTAAAAGGAAGAATAAACTGCGAAAAAGAGAAAAAAGAAAGAAAGGACTTAGAAGAAGAATAGAGAGAAGGAAAGGAGTAAAAAAAAGATAAGTAATGAAAAAGAAAAAAACAAAGAGAAAGAAGAAAGGTGACAAAAGAAATGAATTATTTTGCTAGTAATGAGGAAATTGATATCAAAATGAGATGGAATAATAATAATAATAATAATAATAATAATAATAATAATTGCAATGCAAATAATTTTAATTCTACTTACGCATGGTGATGGTGATGATGATAATGGTGACAGTTCTGACACCATGGATGATGATGATGATTATACGGATTATTAATCATTATCGATTTGATTGTCTCATTATTTTCGAGCCAATCAAAGTAGGATTTAATGAAAACCAGACTTTATAACATTTTTGCCAACATAAAAGAAACTTTTTTTCTTTTCTCTCTTTTTCTTTAACCCTGCATTTGATTTCTTAATCATTTGTAACGCGTGTATTTCTTTGTTTTGTTTTTTTTTATTATTTTTCATTTTATATTATTCATTTTTCTTTTGATTATTATTATTATTTATTGTTTCTTCTCATTTTATTTGCGTTTTTCTTCACCCTTCATCCTCGCTTGATTTCTAGTGCATGCAGGTGAGGCGAAACTGCGGCTGTATGAACAGGGTCGGCGAAGGGGCTACCATGACTGTGTCATAGGTGTGTGCATTTAGGGGGGGGCCATTTGCTTAACAGTGTACGCTTTTTAGAATCCTTGTAAGCGTAAGAACACGCACACGCATTTACCAAGACACACGTACCTCTCTGCATGCGTATACGCGCGTGTATGTGTGTGTGTGTGTACATGTATATATATATATGTGTGTGTGTGTGTGCGTGCGCGTGCGCGTGCGCGTGTGTGTGTGTAAAAATATATAGAAAATAGGTAAGAACTCGTTAGGTAAATAATCCAAAGTTCTTTAGTATTTTTGTTATTATTTTTAAAAAATAGTGATCGATACAAAAGTAGTGCATAAATATAGCGTTGGAATCATATTTTTAAATAAATAAATATATATATATATATATATATATATATATATATATATATATATATATATATATATGTATGTGTGTGTGTGTGTGAGTGTGTGTATATACAAGGTCTATTCGGCAAGTATCAGACTATTTTGGGTATCCTAAAAATCAGTTGCGCGTCCTTGATATAACTAGTTAAACTATTAGAAGGGACCTAACCAGCATGTCGGAACAGGGACTCTCCACTTGGGTTACGCAATCGGTATTAAATGGCGTGACTTACTATCTGTAAGGTTTTATTTATATATTACTAATAAAACATCGTAAGACCAAGTCTTGGCAAACCCCAACTCTCGATAATATAAACGTATTGGAGTGGGCGTGATTACGGGTAACGCAAATCGGTATGGTGTCTTTTGAAAAATTAACATCCAAACTGGAGTTATTTCAAGAGAAACAAGGCACCACTCCTCTTCGGTAAGCTATTTTTTTTTAATCACTAGATACTTTCTAAATTTGGTCTCGTAATTGTTTTATGCTTTATTTTCCTACACGGGTTTCCGGTTTCTCGACCTTCATCAAACAAAGAGTGAATATTTCCACTTATTATCTAAAGGAATTAATTTTTCTTATGTTTTTCAGTAGTAAACTTTATATATATATAACGTCATCCACAGACAGACTGTTTCGCTGTTTCACAGCTCATCAGTGTGGGTAGACATCCGGTTGCCTCTAGCTAGGATCAAAACCCGACTGAATTGGTGTCAGTCGGAGATTCTAACCATTGAGCCGTCGGAAGGTGGATTTTAGCGTATTTATTTTTAGAAACACGCCCAGTGACCGACAGTGATTCAATTCGTTTTTGCGAAGAGTCTCGCTATATAGCTATAATAGTCACTGTTTACCAACCCACACCTCCTCCCCAGAGAGCTCAACTGAAATTAATTTTTCAGGAGCCAATATATATATATATATATATATATATATATATATATATTTCTTTTGTATTTGGAGATATATATATATATATATATATATATATATATATATTATATATATAATCTTAGTGTTTAAGTCATTTTATTTGTATTCTTACTCTGTCCTGATGAATTGTTCTACCTGGATTCTATTCTCTTGGAATGTATATAAATTATATATATATATGGAATGTTAGTGTTGTGTGTGTGTGTTGTGTGTGTGCATATTGCGTGTCTGTGTGTGTGTGTGTGAGTTGTGTGTACCTGTGTGTATATATATTTTAGAATATATATATATATATATATATATATATATATATATATATATATATATGTGTTGCATATATTAATTACACAACAAAATCTAAAATGTGTGTGTGTGTATATGTATGTGTGTGTGTATCTATCTATCTATATTTATATATATATATATATATATATATATATATATATATATATATATATCAATTACATATATTAATTACACAACAAAATCTAAAATCGCCTCATATTAATATATATCTATTTCAGCCAACGCGAAGAATGCCGGTCTTATTCAACCCCGATAAATGGATTGTGTTCATGTCGGGATTAGAGATTTAAAACTTAACTTTGACAGCAATCGAAAAATTGATACAGAACCTGCTTATATCGACGCCTCACTCAGACGAAATGCCCGAGTCGGTGGTAGGTGGGAGGCTCGAAAATATCTGTCTTAATTCATCGCAGATATTAACATTATGACCCTAAGTTGGGGCTCGATGAAGGATGAGGATGTTCCTCGCGTTGTCTGAAATAAATCTATACCCATATGAGGTAATTTTGAATTTTGTTTTGTAATTTATATGCTCTAGTAAATATATTGAGCTCTTTTAGTCGATCAGTTTTAATATTTGATAGTATTAGGATCCTCTTGGATTATATACAAACGGATTTATTACCTGTACTATATATATATATATATATATATATATATATATATATATAAATTACAGACATTGTCTGCTAATTTTTAACAAAATCCGTTCATATTCACGAATAACCTTCTGTTTGTTAATATTTAAGGACGAGAGAAATATGCTATAGCTGTTTAAATTTCTTTTATTTTCATTTCCCAAGTACTTTCGATCTTCTTCCAAGATCATCTTCAGGGGTGCAAGTAGTACAAAACTGTATGTTGTTCAGGGGTACAAGTATTTATACAAAGCTATGCATTGCTATCGTAATTTTTCATTATGCTTTTAAATGCAAACGGTTGACAATGTGCTGAGCGTTCATTAGAACGTAAAAAAATTATCCATTTTGGATTTTTTTCCCCTCTATGTTTTAATGTTATGGACCATGCGCGCAACAAGAAAATAATATATTCAAACTACAGATCTTAGAAGCAATTTACATAAAAAAAATTAAAACCGGCACTGAACAGAATTAAGTATCAATACTGCAGTAATTTTCTGAAATGCCTATAAAGAAACAGTTTTTCACGCTTTAATGCGCGCATGCCTACTTCATACTATATCGCTCGTCGAGTGGGCCAACAAGGAGCACGTCCCCAAAATCGTTGCACTTGATTGCATTTCTGACAATTGCCATATTAGTATGTAGCTTTAAAAAGCTTCCGTGTTTTAGCCTCTGGCAACAAAGTTCATCTCCAAGCTGGAGAATGGGCGGAGGCGGACAACTGACGCGTCATGACCAGCTGATTCAGGTAGATGGACCTCAACAGCCCAGGAAGGTAGTCCATCTAGGAGAAAGAAAACTCTGATTTTAAACCCCGATGCCTTGAGGCCACACCCAAACACTAAAGAAGGTATGTGTTGAGGGGTTATCCCCTTTTGACACAAATGGACTCACCCAGGGTATACATATACTACTGATAGTGAATACCCGGGAGAAGAACGAGAAAGAAGGACGAACGAGCGACGAACCAGAACAGAACGTAACGATCAAGAGTCACAGTGAGCAAGCGCATAGACTCAGTAATTCATACAGTGATACGGCGATACCAAAGACTGTATATATATTTTGCTACTAACCCGCATTCCTGGAACTACTAACCTACATTACCAGTTTGTATTATTACATTAATACATTTATTTTCCTATATTCCTTCTTAGCGTTTGTTATTTATTGGTACCGGATTTCATCCCGCAATCCACAACAGTATGACATTAAATCCAGACAAAAACCCGGAGTGGAGACCTGAAGACGGTTCGCTGTCAACATCGAAAACTGTATCCCCTTGGCCTACGCCCTGTGGAGATCACTCCAGCCACATCATTTAAGTAATTATTTTTAACCAAACGGGGCGCTAGTAAGATCTTGCAATATAAACAGTTTTTAAATTGTCAAGGTTGATGCCATTTATTGCAGTATTTACAGAATGAATTTCAATTCTTTGGAAGATTGCACAATGCACCTAGAATAGTCTTTCTTGGGCTAGCATTCCCTTAATGAAATTAATTACAATTTCCTCGGAGACAAAATGGCACGTATTGCATGTCCTTTGCAGAGGAATTTCTAGAAAGATGTAAATCTGAAGAAGCCTGAAATATGACTGAAAACAGTGTTTCAAAACGATTAGAAGGTTTCTCCATAATGTCCAAAACAAAAATAATTATTTATTTATTCATTAAAAACATTTAATTTTACGCACCTCTATATTTTGAAATACTAATGAATGAAATTTGTTTTCTATAAAAAATGCCATTGGCTTCAACCACGGCCTCCAGATGACTTCGGAATCTCCTGCAACTCTTCTGGATGGTCTCCTTGTTTAAGTTGATGAATGCTGTCATAATCCTTGCCTTCAGTTCATCTTTGATGTTACAAGGAGTTTTGTTGATCTCCCGCTCAACTGCGTCTCAGACATGATAATTAAGGGAGTGTTGTCTGGGGAGTTAGGTGGCCAGACGTAAGGGGTGATGTGGTCGCAAAAATTGTCTAATAGCCATGATTGGGTTTTCCTGTTTGTGTGGCATGATGGAGAATCCTGTTGCCAGAAATAGGATCTTCAAGCAGCCACCCTCTTGACCCGAGGCAGCGCTACTTCCTCAAGGCATTTGATGCAGGCCTCCGTGTTGAGTCTGAGGCCCTTACCAATAAATTCAGGAGAACGATCAGAGTTGACGATTCCGGTGCGATTTCTAAGCAGTGCAGTATACCGTTTGCAAATTTCAGGGGGAGTGAACTGCGTCATGGTGGTTTTTGCTCATGGATGTTGTCTAATTGACCCTACTATAATGTGCAGTTAACAAAATCAAAAACAAAGAACGCGCATGCGCTAAGCTAAAAATATAAAATGGCGGAAATTTGCCTATTGCACCCATTAGAAAGGAAGAATTCTGAATATATATATATATATATATATATATATATATATATATATATAAATATATAGTTTTAAAACTAAAACCATTGATTTTAATATTAAAAGTCTCTAGAGCCCTTTCAGCCAACATCTCATCAGGAGACAATCGTTGGATTAGCGAAATGAATAATAGCGATATTGAAGAGCAAAAAAGAGGGGGAAACACACTAAAATAACGAACAAGTATATATACTTGTAACGAGGGAAGGGTTATCGTGTAAATAAATTTTGCTCTTCAATATCGGTATTATTCATTTAATTTATTCATTTTAATATTAAAATCAATGGTTTCCTAGTTTTTTTGGTTTCTAAACTATTTATAAATTTTGTACCTCCAAACATTTGTTTATATATATATATATATATATATATATATATATATATATATATATATATATATAATATTAAGAAAGTTTGTATTGTCTTTTAATATCTATATCTATCTATCTAATATATTGTCTATTTATATGTTATTTTTATAGATATAATTTATTTAAATACATGGTCAGTTTTTTAATTAAACATTATTAATTCCATTTACCGGCCTAAATGTTCGAGAAATTTCCTAGAAAATATGCACTCTCCGACAGGAATTGAATCTGTAACTCGAATGGATATTGTCAACAGCCGCAGAGAAGCGTATATATATATATATATATATATATATATATATATATATATATATATATATATATATATACGGAAAAAAAAACAAAATCCTTATATACAATTTATACTGTTTTAATGTTAATATATCAACGTCGGACGTTTCGGTCTAATAAACCATCTTCAGGACATATTCATAAATTATAACATTATCAATACAACATGACAAAGACGATGTACATAAGACATATTAACATTAAAACAGTATAAATTGTATAAGGATTTTTGTTTGTTCTTTCCGTATATATTTTTCTTCATACTGTCGAATCTATATCCATATATTTGCTTACATATATAATAATAATAATAATAATAATAATAATACTTTTATTTAAAAAATATTTTATATCGCGACACGTAAATTTCTGTTTCTGAATTTAAATCTCTTCAGGCTGATAGACGTAAATAAACAAATACACTGTTTTATTAAATAAATAAGAACAGGGCATTTATTCAAATATAAGTATCTATTGATAATAACTTTTAATCAAATAAATTAATTTTTACAGATACTTTTTCTTTAATATCTGAATTTTTACACACACATGCGCATACACTCACTTAGGGTCATATCACTTTGAATCTCGTAAGATCACCGAAGTTAAGCAACGTCGATTCTGGTTAGTACCTAGATGGGTGACCGCTGAGGATGTCAGGTACTGTAAATTTAGACGTGCAGGTGGTGTTATGAATAACGGCTCAAAAGTGAAAATCGGAAAGCCGAGTTCCAATTCCAGTTGGGTTCGTTATAGTCACTTAAGTGCAAATACCCTTGCTAAAGTTATTAATCCACCTCTTCTCCTCCAGCTATGGGTTAATTAGTAGGATATGTATCAGTAAATAATCATTAACTCCAAAAATGAATGGGTCTAAAAATTTTAAAATATATCACTCAATACACAGACACACTGATTGAGATATATATATATATATATATATATATATATATATATATATATATATATATATATATATATATATATATATATATATATATAACAGTACAAAAACGTATTATGGCTTTAAAGCAAAATTTTTTTTTATATGCCATGATAAATTTTAAAACAAAAACACGAACACAAGTCGACCGGTTTCGTCCCCTCTCGTCAGAACTGTAAAAGGGGAAACAAATTATGAGAAGAAAGCGGATGACGTGAATAAATGGACAGGGAAAAATATAATAATAAAAGTTATAACATCAAAGATGCTAGAGACACGGCACCGCAAGCCCAAGCAAACAATCTCTTTGTTTACAAAGAGCGGGTCGCCTGGGCCTGATGAACAACGTCTCCAACATCTTGCAAATATGGGGAGTCGTCTCCATTTGCTGAATCTGAAGAGATGAAATTAGATATTCACGAGATAAATTATAACCGAAATGAATCTTTAAGATTTTCTTATAATGCTCTCTAGTTTACATTGAGCTCTCCCTGGATTAATATTTTCCTTGTAATTATCCCTACGAGTCACAAATATCCTCAATGTAATTATATATATATATATATATATTTATATATATATATATATATATATAACCAAGAAGAAAATCTTAAAGATTCATTTCGGTTAAAATTTATTTCGTGAATATCTGTATATTCATCTCTTCAGATTCAGTAAATGTTTTAGTCAAGCTTTACTAAAAGCTTTCGGTCTGAAGAGATGAATATATACAGATATTCACGAAATAAATTATAACAGAAATGAATCTTTAAGGTTTTTTTTATAATGCTCTGTAGTTTTTACATTGAGCTCTCCCTGGATTAATATCCTCCTTGGAATTATCCCTACCAGTCACAAACTGGTAATATATATATATATATATATATATATATATATATATATTATATTTTTATATATATATATATATATATATATATATATATATATATATATATATATATATATATTGATTTTATCCTTTTTTTATAAACTAAATATATATATATATATATATATTTTTATAAACTCCCCATATATATATATATATATCATCCCCATATATATGTATATGTGTGTGTGTGTGTGTGTGTGTGTGTGTTTGTGTGTGCGTGCCATGTGTATGTGTGTAGTTATAAGAATATCTTCAATGACAAATGTGAAATTTGTCTGAATAAAGGTCCTCACACACATTACATCTGGCCGATAATAATTCCTCTTGTGTACAATGCAACATTTATTGTGAGACGTCGGCTGGGCCACTTATTTCAGTTTTCGTTTTAAATTATATATTCAATTTGGAAATATAGATCTAGTTGTTTTGAACTAATTGATTTTTCAAATCATTATTGATATTATGTATGTATGTATGTATGTACATTTTCCAGAATGCTTTTCAAATATATTCAACTGAATACGTTTGTAAAAACTGAAATATAACAGGTCAGCATCATTTTTCAAAAGCTAGGAATTACAGTTCATTTTATTCCCCGTTGTCGTCACAGTAATTATCATTCTTGTAGTCTTGTATCAACCGTAATCGAACTGATTCGGTTTTCGAGAAAATGATTTGACACCATTGATAGCAAAACACACGCACACACA